AGCACGTCGAGGGACGATGGTGCTTCCAGGACTTGGCAGCCGGGAGCACCTGGAACCCCTGACGGCCTCCCTTGAGGGTGGGTGGGCTCCCGGTAACCAGCGGATCACTTCCTGGGGAGGAGGCCCTCAGGTTCCGGCTCTGATGGAGCAAAGACCCAAGGTCTGGGAGTGCCTGGGGAGGGAGGGGCGGGGCGCGCTGCCTGGGGAAGGCAGGCAGCCCCCCAAAGGGCCCTGGGGGGACGCTGCCATTCCCACTGTGGGCAGCTGGCTAAGGTGGGTGAGGGTCCCATCCTAGGAGGCTTCAGGGGGTGCCCCTCCCAGCTCTCCCCTGGCCCAGCAGCCCCTCCAAACCTTGCTCCTCCCCAGGCCGCCTGGTCCACTGCCCGCTCCTGCCTCACAGAGCAGACCCGAGGCACAGGAGGAAGCGCCAGGGCCCTTGCTAGCACCTGAGCCCGGCCCCTCCCGGCGCTGACTGCTGAGGGCGCTCTCACACCACCCTCCTTACAGACGTGCCTCCTTCTTTTCCTTCGTTTCTGGACGTCTACATTCCCGGTGGAGACTACGTTTCTGACAAGCCCACAGCTTCACCCTCATCCCCAGACACCCACTGATAGCTCTGGGCAGCGCCTCTGCCCGTCCCCTCCACCTGCCCCGACGCACGGCTTCCTGGGGTTCACTGGCCATCTCCACTGGGGCCCCTGTCAGCCCTCAGCTGCGCCCCCCCCAATCTCCCACTGCTCTCGGTTCTCTTTTCTGCCAGCGGCACCTCCATCAGCCCCGCCTCCCAGGCAATAAAGCCCACCATCTTGGTCCACCATTCCCCTCTCCCCTCCCCCGGCCCCTCCATTCTGGGTCTACACGTGATGACTGTGACCACAGGCCCCACAGCCAGACAGCTCAGGGAGCAGAAATGCCAGGGGCTGGAGGCTGGATTTCTGTGGACAGAGCCCATTCCTTCCTGCACACACCCGGCGCGGACCTCCTTTGGTCCAAGACGGCGAGGCCGAGTGGTTGGAGCTGTGGTCTCTGCCACCTGAGGAAGGTTCCAGGATTCCTGGGGGGAGAGGTGGGCAGGTCTGGAGGGTGGGGCTGAGGAATCCGTCCAGGGTGGGCAGCCAGCCTCCCACATACACCTGAGCCACAGACCTGGCGTGGGCATGGCCTGGGCCCTCCTGGTGAGCTGAACTCACCCCGCAGCCCTGGGACCCCGCCCAGCGCCCCTCCCAGCACCGTCTGTGTGCACAGTTTCGCAAACACCGGCATGCGCCCCTTGCCCGGCCGTCCCTCCAGAAAGGTCTCCCTGCGATGTGGGCACCTCTCCACCCACACATGCTTTCAAAGCACCGGCCTCTCCTGCTTCAAAGCCCATGGCCGTGAGAGATGGTGCAAAGCTCCAAATCAAGTGGAAACACATGAAGACATCTCCAGGACCTAAGAGGATTAAAACACAGTATGAAAAATGCTGGCAGAACATGAAAGTGGGACCTTGTGGGTTCTGAGGACTCATCGAGTGTGAAGAAACACAGGTCATAAGAGAAGGCAGCCTTCAGGCAGGGCTCCACAGTTGTTTGCGGGCTCGGGTGGCAGCAGTGCCCCCTCGCAGCCCCCACAGTCACTCTGCCCGCTGGCCAGAGACACGCTCTCTCACAGTCACTGTGGTCCTGCTCTCGCCCGCCCTTGTGGGTGGTTCTTCCAGCTGACGTCACACCCCTCAGCTGGTTCTCCTTTAGGTCCTGTAACCCGGATGGCCCCTGCCCTGGCTCAGCTGGCACCGTCGCTGGCCCTTGGCCCCGGTCTCCCTTCTGTGTCTGAGGCCTACGGCAGGGCTGGGTGCAGACTGGAGCTGAATCCAGATGCTGCCTGAAATGCAGAGTTTCAGGGTCTCACATATCTGGAGCCGGCACACTGGGGGGCGTTCAAGGAGATTGGCCAGAATCTCCTTGGGATTTGGAACATACCGCACGGGGGACAACGGCAGGAACTGAAGACTATTTTGAGAGATCTGCAGTGACTGTTTCCAAATATCTAGCAGACAAGCCAGTGGAACAGGGGAGCAGACTCCTGTGGTGTCCAGAGAGCACAGTCCTGCAGCCTGGCACAGAGGCCCGGCAAGCGGCCTTCTGGTCAACCACACAGGTCCCTAGCAGGGCTGTCACACCAAGCATGTGATATGAGGAGGGTTCCTGCAGCTGTTTGGGGAGTGCCTCTTGGAGATTATCATCCTGTAGCTGCCAACACTGTGATCCAGCCTCACCTACATCTGAGCAAGAGGCCAGTTTAGGAAGGTCTTCATCATGGCACTTCATCAAGGGCCTCAACCAGGTCCCCAGCTCCCCGGGGCACAGTGGCCAGTGACAGCGCCACCCACTGCCAGGCTCAACATTAAACATAAACAGAAAACTAAGGGTCCTCCAGATGTTTTATAAAAGACCTAGAACATGAGAGGCAGGCTACAACATATACATACACTCATACTGGAAGAAACTGAGCTGGTTCTAGGAACAGAATAGAATTTTAAAAAATTATAATTATCAGACTTCCCTGGTGGCAGAGTGGTTAAGAATCCACCTGCCAATGCAGGGGACACGGGTTCGAGCCCTGGTCCAGGAAGATCCCACATGCCGTGGAGCAACTAAGCTGTGAGCCACAACTACTGAGCCTGCGCTCTAGAGCCCGCGAGCCACAACTACTGAGCCTGTGCTCTACAGCCCGTGAGCCACAGCTACTGAAGCCCGCGTGCCTAGAGCCCGTGCTCCACAACAAGAGAAGCCACCACAATAAGAAGTCCGTGCACCGCAATGAAGAGTAGCCCCCGCTTGCTGCAACTAGAGAAATCCTGCGTGCAGCAACGAAGACCCAATGCAGCCAAAAATAAATATAAATTAAATAAATAACTTAAAAAGAAAATAAATTACACAAACTCTTAAAAAAATAAAATTATAATTATCTTCAGAAGTATTCAAGAAGATACCGCATTTATAGAGTAAATACAGAATGCCGTTAAAGGGAAGAGTTCTTGGATATTAAAAACATGATTCCTAGCATTACAAGAAGATGCTCATCAACAGGATTAGAGAATAAAGGTAAGGAAAGCTTCTAGGTTGTAGAAAAAGAAAAGATAGATTCAATCCAGGAGATCCGAAAGCTGGCTAACCGTTCTAGAGAGAGGGGAGCGTGAGACGATCAAGAAAAACTAAGAAAATCTCCCAGGCCTGGGGACGCACGCCTTCAGGTTGAAAGGGCACTGAGACCAATCAGACAGGAAGCACAGGAAACAACTGCGAAGAAACCTGCGGGCACTGAGGGCAGAGAAGGTCATAGGAAAGGCACCTGGGGAGGCAGGGGGCTGCCCTCAGTGTTTCCAAGGAAACTTCCCCCCTAAAATCCTGCACGCGGTGCATGAGGCAGGGTAAAGGATGCAGCCACCATGAGTGTCCACACTTCCCGCCACAGAAGGTGGCTCTCACTGGGATGAAGCCGGCGAGGTCACGGCTCCCCCAGCCTGTGGCTGTGCTGTAGGGGCACGTGGCCCACGTGGCTGCAGAGGGCGAGGGGTGAGCTCTCACCCTCAGCCCAGGATTGACGTCGGCTCACTCTGCTCAACACCCATTGGCTGGTCCTGGTCGCATAACCTGGCTGAGCTGCAGGGACGCTGGGGAGTGTCGGGGAGCACCTGGAAGGCGGGGTGTCCTTGAGGTCAACCAGAACACTGGACATCAGATTTGGACACGGTGGCTCCAGCCAAAGATGGCGGTAAAGGAAAGTTCCAGAAAGGGGACCATTGTCAGTTCTAGAGACAGTCAGCCTGGACAGCACAGGCAGGAGGGCCCAGGAGGGGGGTTATGGGAAAACAGGGAGGGGTCTTCACGGGCGCACACCGGCCAGAGACCTTGCAGACGCGATGGGAGCACCAACACACGGGCGGAAACTCAGGAGGCACTGAAGACGCGGTGTTCACAGGGGCTCTCGGGGACGGGGATGGCCAGCAAGAAGCCGGGGGACGTTACCATGTGCAGAGACGGGGGTTTTCTTCCCCAAAAAGGAAAGGAGAGGGAGGGAAGGACTTCAGAAAAAGCAATTAGGAGCTTGTCGAAAAACATTATGTGCAGCTCATGGGGTCCACGTATGAAGTGAGCCACGTGTGGTGGGCTTGTGGCATGAAAGGAGAGTCTGAACCGCATTCAGGGACTGTCCCCAGGGGTGACACGCAGGTCATCCCACCACTGAAACCACTGAGAAGGGAGTGATCACAGCCGCGCCCTTGGATCTGCGCAAACGACATTGGGACGCAGCCAGGACGATGCAAATGCCGACAGTGACTCTCGATTTTAGAATCATCCGTGGGGGCTCGGCCTGGGGTCTGACACTGAGAGGGACAAGCTGGGCAGCTTGGAGGGAGGAGGGCGAGGGAAGGTGGGAGGAGGGTTGGGGCCCCACATCGTCACCCTAGACCACGGTGGGCGTGAAGAGGGGACGCCAATGCTGCCTGCTAGCCTGGGACCCAGCGGCTCGTGCGTGGTTCAGTCGGGCATCTGGGGCCACACCACGTAATAAAGGCTTCTCGCTGCCTCAGTCAGAGGTCCCTCCGGGCAGCCCACGACAGCTGGGACCAGCTGAGGGACACTCAAGGTCTGCAGGGAAGGTGGGCAGTGCTGCAGCCACAGCTGACCAGGTCAGAGGCCAGCTGCCTGCTGCTCCAGGGCAAGAGCCTGGCGCCCACATAATGGTGGGTCAGACCATGAGGGCCCCCAGGGGCCAGGGGACCTGGCTGAGCAGCCGGGCTGCCGGAAACTCCGTGCCAGGGCAGCCCTCCCGCCTCATTTTAGGGCTCCCAGGCTATATTCGGGGTCCCAGGGGCTCGGCCTGAGCCTTATTCTGGGGAGGCGCCTGGGTGCAGAGGCCCGGGCTGGGGCCCTGGGCCTGGCTCGTGCGGCCCGGGTCCTGTGTCGCCCAGGCGCCAGGCAGAGGTGCAGGGCCGGCGGGGAGCACAGGGTCCTTACCAGGAAGGACTGGAAGAGCTGGAAGCTGCCGCCCAGCCGCACGTACAGGTGGGACTGCAGCTGCGTGGACGTGCCGTTGAAGGCGTTGGCCACGGCCAGGAAGGCGTAGGGCCCCACCGTGAAGAACTCCCAGTCGCAGGCGCCCGACGTGGCGACGGTCTGGTTGGCCTCGAAGAGCCGGGCCCCTGGGCTCCACTTGTAGATGACGCTGTAGATGTTGTGGTCGCTGCCTGGAAGCCGAGCGCCATGGAGGGAGGGAGACGGGCCGCCGTGGCCTCGCGGCGGCCTTGGCAAGACCCTGCCCGCCCGGACCCTGCCCCAGGCCCTGCAGCCCGTCCAGTCCAGCCAGGCCCTGCTCTCCTGCACCCTCCCCAGGCCCCCAGCAGTGGCAACGCCCTTCACGTGACCTTCCTGCCTCTGTGCCCCGATAAGAACCCTCGGGGGCCCTGGCTTCGGACGGCTCCAGACCCCCCTGAGGCCTTGCAGCACGCTGGAGGCGGGACCCCCGCCCTCCCCAGCCTCACCCCTCACGCTGTCCACCATCCCCTTCGCGCTCCCCGCCGCCGGTCAGGCCTGCCTGGAACGTGCTCCCTGGAGCTCCTCACCCACCCCCAGGGCTGGGCCAGCCTCTCCCGGGACACTCACTCCCATGGGGGGTATTGGGTGGCGGGCTCCTGGGGTCCTCTCTGCCCATGAGCGGTGGTGGGGTCTCCTCCCTGGCCCCCCGCCCGCCGCCAGAGTTCCCCGGCAGGTGTAGACTCAGGTGATCGCTGAGCCGCAGAGCCTGCCGAGGCCAGAGGTGCCCTGCAGGGCCGACTGCCCCCCGGGGCCCTGTCCCCCAAGAGCTACAAGCCAGGGAAGGGCTCACTGTGGCCACGCAGGGCAGTCACCTGGCCCAGAAGCCAGGTTTCCCAGACCCTCCCAGGACTGTCCCCCACTGCACCCACTGCATCCCACAGAGTTTGTGCCCAGAATGGATAAGGGCAGGGACGCCCTTACCAGGACAGATGAGGGGGTGCTCAGGTGTGTCCTCCCTCAGACGCCACTGTCAGATTGCCAAGCCCGAGGACACGGGCCACATGTGGTTTATTACACATTTTTAATGAGATACACTGAACCCTGCAGGTGACCCTGCCCTGGCCCTGGAGTCCAGGCCATAGCCCCTACCTTCCCGGTGGTTGGCCACGGCCAGGAAGTGCTCCCCGGACACCTCGAAGGCCTCCCAGTCTCGGGCGCCGTGGGTGAGGACCCTCTGGTACGGTGTGAACCTCCGCCTTCTCTGGCTCCATTTGTAAATGACAGAGAACTCCTGACCCTTTTCATTCGGTTCAAAATTAGCCACAGCCAGGAAGATCTGGGGAGAGGACCGGGACAGCATTCTCGTGATCCACGCGAGGGGTCCGGCACTCGAGGCTTCTGAACATCGGCCTCGGGACAGGGGCTGAGCCGGGACTGACAGCCTGGGGCGGGCCCAAGAGCCCACGACTGACTCTCCAGATCTCCATCACATTAAGACCCGCAGCGGCGTCCGCATTTACCAGCCCACGAGCTCCGTTCCTGTCTCCCAAACCCAGGAAACGCTTTACGCACGGAAATGCTCTTCAGTGCCGGGTGAAGAGGAAAAATCTTAACGCCCTGCTGTCTCAGGAAGCACATGTTTGTCACGCATGCAGTCGAGGACAACATGGCAACGCCCTACGTGTGACGTGAGCTGGAGGCCAGGTGGTGGGTCATGTGATTGAGGCAAGAGCCGGAAGCCCGGGGGTGGGGCACGCTCGCGGCGGCTGAAGCAGCCCCGGGTACTCTCTGCCACTGCTTAGGGGACGGGGCAGGCCTTTTCCTTAGTTTTCTAAAGGTCCCGATTTTTCTTTGATATCAGGTTGTTTTTTATAATGAAAAAATAGGAACCTTTAAAATGTCATCAACCATAAAACCAGAGGGCTAGTCATTCCTTCACCAGGCTGGCTGGGAGCGCAGGACCCTGAGGGTCGGCAGCGACGGGGAACAGAAGTCTGTCTGTTTCGCTCAGTTTTGTCCCCCGTCGGGGGGGCCCAGGTGAGGGCAGGGCTGCACCTGGCACACATGTTAGTGAGCAAGTGACTTGGGGGCGGGCTCAGGTAGGTAAAGGGTAAACTCTCACAAGGGGATGACCCTCTTAGCCACGACCCATGGGCCACTGCTCAACGCAGCCCTGGTGGAAGGAAGGGGAGGCTGCCCACGAGGCTTTCCCACCCAAGGCCTCTGGGCCAAGCTCACCATCCTCACCTGTCCCCTCCATGAGGACGTCACGTATCCCTGGTGTGTATGGAGCGAGTAAAGGAAGGCTGGGAATGGAGGCCTATTTTCATTCTGACGTGATGTCCGCCCTGCAGACTGGTTTAGGTCAGATTATCTCCAAGGTTTAAGGAGGCAGTGGTGGGTCTGCACAGAGCTGGGGAGCATCTCAGAAATGGGCTGATCTCTATTTTGTGGAAGCCAAACAGACTTTCTCAGTCACATTCTGGACACAGAGATGCAGCCGTGCCTGACTTTAAAAGGCATTTAGAACCTGCATGAGGCTTTGAAACCAGTAGAAGTGCCTTTCCCCATAAAATCTACATAAGGAGCCCCAACCTTTGGGCTCTGTGGGGCTTCCCAAGGTAAAAAGGATTGAGAAAGACTCCGAATGCAGACTTGCCTTTTTTCCAATGGTGAAATGTCTCCAGGACTGTGCTTGGTGCGTGGGAATGTCCTGGTACGAGGAGAACTTCCCGTCGGCCCATTTGTAGATGGCGGACGTGGTTTTCCGGTTGGCAGTGTCCACGAAGAGCCCGGCCCCAGGGATGACAAAGACCTCGATACCCAGTGTTTCTGAGTTCGTGAACAGGCTCTGATGCTCCTCCACGTACTCCAGCCTTTCTTTGGCTTGTGATAGAGACACAGAGACCCAGTTAATGCTTCCCAGAACAGAAGCCTGGATGGACGTCCAGCGGTGTGACCCCAGGGACCTGGGCCATGACCCGGAGCACTGTGGCCTTGGGTGCCGTGCCGCCCTCACCAGGAGGCCCGGCAAAGGAGCCTCTCATCCCTGCACAGGTTTTAGGGTCTGCAGAACCCCCAGAGATACTAGTCAGGTGGAACTGACACGTCAGGTCCCTACTAGACGTTTCCCACGGCTTGCGGCTTCCACGAAAGGCTGTGCCCTGATGGGAACTAGAGAGTAGAGGCCACGGCTCGGGGACTTTCCCCCGGAGCCAGTTCCCATTTCCCGAGGACCCCCTTGGGGAGCATCACAGAACCTCTCCTCACCTCCCCGCCAACAGAACCACTCCCGGGCTCCCGGCACCATCGCGTCCAATCTTGACCCGAGTGGGCGGAGAGGGTAAGGAGAGCAGGTGGGGCTCCTGGAGCGGGGCTGGCCCCCTCAGGGAGGCTCACGGTCTCCCCTAGACGGCTCGAGAGCTGAGAACCTGCCAGCCTACCAGTAGGGCCCAGGAGGGCACGCATTTCCAGGTGAGGCACGCAGGCTCACTGCTCCGTGAGGTGGGGGAGGAGGTCGTCCCTGTCCCTAAGTATCGCTGGCTCTGAGAAGACCCCGAGGTCCCCAGAGCCCCACCCACCTCACCTGCTAACACGGAGACCCACTCGCTGCCCACGCACAGGTATAGCCCCTTGCGGCCGGCGTCAAACCAGAACTGGGCGTCCTCCGCTTTGGTACACGGCGGCCGGGATCCCAGCGTCACCTTCATGTCGGTTTCTGCGGGGAGGCAGGAAGATGGGTGTCCAGTGGGCACGTGCTCCCTGGAGGAGGGCAGGGGCGGGAGTGTCAGGTGACCCCTGCTTTCGCCTTCAGCTCCACCCCCTGAGCTGCCAGAAACCACTCAGGGTCTCGGGGAGGGAGGGAGACCCGAGAGCCCATGGCCTGCCCGGGGCGTCCGCACGCAGGACAGCCTCCCGCCCACCTAGTTCTTCCCCGTGGCCTCAGCTCTGCTGAGAGCCCTGAGCCATCACGCCGCACGGCTCTCCGCTTCCATCTGAGACTCGCTGGCACGCGTCCACCCAACTTGTGTTCTGCGTAGTTCTGAGGTCCCTGACCCCTGACCCCGGGGCTCACGGCTTCATCCCAGGTCCAGCCCTCACCCCGATGGTGCCACTTGGCCCCTTTACAGCAACGTCCACGCTGAGGCCCCGGCGGCCAGTCTGTGACACTGAGCGCGTCCTCGACCTCTTGATCTGCCTGGCAGAGGCCTGGGGCCGGACTCCTGCCCGAGGCCCGGCAAACAACCCAGATGCCGTGTGCCTCTGGGAATTTGGGGACACGGGTCCAGGATTGGGCCTAAGGGCCCACTTGCTCAGGGGGCTCCCCTGACTCGTGAGGCTCGAGAGAGGGTCAGGCTGTCTCCCCACCTCCCTAGTAGGGAGGAGGGGTTTCAGACTCTCCGTGGCAGGGGATGTGGCTTAAATAAACCGTCAACACTAACTTTACATTGGGGAGGTGCAAACACAAACTAAAGACGGCAAAGCTGGGGACGCTCTAGGCTGGGGGATCCCAGAAAACAGCAATGAAGCTCACAAAGGTCGGGGTTCCCACGGGGCTGGGGTGCTGACGCTTGATGTCTGTTGGAGAGGAAGGGGGGAAAGGGCCCCAACGCTGCTCTGGGGGCAAAGCAGACAGCAGGTGGGAGTTAGGGAAGCAAGATTGTAGGCTCAGCCCCAGGTCCCAGGTGGGACGAGCAGTTAATCAAGGGCACGGTCCAGGTGGGGGTTAAACAGCCATGGGGGGCGCCCTTGGGAGGGAGGCAGGTCTGGTGGCACCATCTGCCTTCCCTGCGGGGCGTCTGCGTCAGGCCCGGCGTTCCCTTCATCCATGTGCCAAGCGCCCTCCTGTCTTGTGCCCGGGGAGGTTGGAAGTGACAAGGCTCCGAGGGTCTACTGTCGGCGTGGGGAGCGGGTAGCTGCGGCCTACTAACCATAGGGGTACTTTAGCACCTCACTATCCTCCGGCTTCCCCGTGAGTCCCCGCAGGGTAGGGGGGATGGACAGCAGGGCGAGCTCAGGATTCCTGCAGGGACAGAGCCTCAGGGTAGCGTCTGAGCCGGGCAGCAGGACCAGCTGCCTCACCAGGCCCTGCAGAGAGAGGGACAGCGCACTGAGACCTGCACTGCTGGAGCGCGCCCCGCCCACTGGGCTCAGCCCACCCAGCCCCCGAGGGAGGGGTGGAAACGCGGGTGCGGGTCTAAGCTCTAAAGCCAGGAGAGAGGAGTCAGCCCGTTGGGTAAGGGGGGCATTGGGAGCAGTGGTGGAGAGCTGCACACCATTCGAAGGTGATTACATCACGGAAGGGACCTCTCCTGTGGACTGCCCTACAGTGACCTGGTACAACGCTCATCCATCTATATGTCCATCCGTTCGTCTCTCTGCCTACCTATCTGTCCATCCATCCATCCATCCATTTGTCCATCTCTGTCCATCCATCCATCCCTTTGTCCATCCATCCATCCATCCATCCACCCACCCAAATACCCATTCATTCATCCATCCATCTATACATCTGTTCCTCTACCTGCCCACCTATCTGTCCATCCATCTGTCCGTCCACCATTCATCTATCTGTCCGTTAGTCTATCCATCCATCCATCCATCCATTCATCCATCCATCCATCCATCCAAGCATGCCATTGGTAAATATTCAGAGCATGGTTCTTTACACTGGACACGGCAAGAAACAAAAGCCCTTACCCTCATGGAGCAAGGTCCCCCCCGCTCCCCTGCACTCTAAGGGAAAGACAGGCAATGAGCAAACACACCGCTGGTCTGAAGGTGGTCAGGGCTACAAAGACAATCTGGGGAAGGGGATGAGAGGGCTGGGTGTGGGTGTCATCTCCTCAGAGTGGAGGGGAAGGCCTCCATGGTATGAGGGCACAGGGCAGGGCCCCAAAGTCACAGGGAGTGTGCCATGGCAGGAGTGGGACAAATGTTCTAGGAGGAGGGCACAGCAGGTGCAAAGGCCCTGTGGTGCGAGTGTGCCCGGCACGCATGGGACTCCACTGAACCTTTATGCTCCCCATTCCCAACTGCACGTACAACAGTGTCAAACTGGGGTGCCAGACCAGTGGTGACAGCCCCCCAGGAGCACTGGTGTTGGGAGGTCCAGGCAGGCAGCTCCTCCATACTTACCGTGAACTGGCCTTTGGTCCTCCTCCGGCTGCCGATGAAGAACCGGGCTCCTTGCACCGATAGGGTGTCCGGGAAGGGCATATCAGCCATTCTGAAAACATTGGAGGATGGTTTTAGGGCCATGGGAGAGCAGGGTCGTGGCCTATTTACATGGAAAAGGATGGGGGCAGCACCGCCTGAGGCTGTATCAATGTCTGGGGTCAGCCGTACGAGTATCACAGGCTGGGCGCCTTAAACCACAGAAGTGTGTTCTCTCGCAGTGCTGGAGGCCAGAGGTCTGAGATCAGGGTGTCGGCTGGGTGTGCCCCCTCTGAAGACTCCAGGGGAAGGTCCTGCCACCTCTTCCAGTTGCTGGGAGCTCCTGGAGTTTCCTGGATTGTGGCTGAATCATGTGGCCTTCTCCTCCATGCCTCCTTGTAAGGTCACTGTGTCAGGGCCAACCTACTCCTCAGCTTAGCTCGGTTATGCCTGCAGAGATGCTGTTTCCAAACGAGGTCCCATTCTCCGGTTCTAGCGGATGTGAATTTGGGGGGATGCTCTTTGCCCCAGGACAAGGGTCTTCTACAAAAGCGTGTGCTGCGGAGGTGTTCGGTGGCCCCTTTCCATGTCACAGGCGTCTCCAGTGGCTCCTCCCGGCACGGGGTCCCCAGCCCGCCCCCTCCTCTGAGCCCAGGGCCGTGGGACAAATGATGTCGGGGCCAGACAGGGTTCACCTCGGTGAGCCGGGACTTGTGGGAAGATGTGGCTGGAGTTGGGTCTTGAGATGCAAGTGGAGGCCCAACTCGGGATGGGGAAGACGTGGGACCTCCTGGAGGGGACTGCGTGGCTGGAGCCTCTGGGGGAAGAGCCAGGTGTGTGCTTCCTCTCCACTGTCCAGCACCTCCCGGACCATGATGCCACGTCCTCTAGTCAAAGCACCTGCTCCGTCCAGGGTCTGCCGTCTGGCTGCCGCTGGCCGTGGCAAGGTCCCAGAACGCCTGCGCTCCGAGCACAGCTCCCAGGCTTCCTGGGTCCGGGTGTGAGCCCTCCGCGGCGTCGCAATGAGCTCCAGCACCCGCACCGCCAGCCTTGTCCTCCTGCACATGGCCCCCATCCCAGAACTGCCCCACCGCCGGCTCCCTGTAAAGGCCCCAGTGTATTCAGGGCATGGTGGGGCGGAGTTGTGATAAAGGCATGTTTAAACAGTGTGTAAGTGTTAAGGAGAATCTTTTATTCCAGCAAGTTTCATAATGACAAAGCAGAGTGAGATTCTACCTTTGAAAGGAATATTTGTCATAAGGATAGATCTAGTGTAAATGGACCATTTGTGATTAAGAAAGAAAGGGTGGTGAGCCCCAGCCAGCGAGGAGGGACGCTGAGGTCCGGTGGGGGTCGTCCCGGCCCAGCTTACCCGGGAGCCAGGCCATGGGGACCAGGCCACGGCCACGACAAGAGATGGGCTCGGGCTCTCGAGTGCCCGGAGTTGCGTCAAAGCTACTAAGGTGATGTTCTGGTGAATATTTACTCCCTCGTCCCAGAAAAGGAAACTGAGTCAGAGAGGTTAAGTGATGGGTTGAAAGTCACAAAGCAAGACCTGGGCCTCATCGGGCGGCAGCTCCTTTTGGGCTCCTGGTGCCCGAGTTCACTCTGACCTTCCTCTGGGCCTTGCCTCGACGCTACCGACTCCGCAGCCGCGTCGATGGGTCGAGACCCATCCCCCAGCCCCAGCGGGCAGGCTGCGGCCCCTCCCAGCCCGGGTGCTCCCGCCCGTCGCCGCCTCTCTGGGGGGCGGGGCCGTTCCACACCACAAGCCAATGAGCCTGGCGCGCCTCCTCCAGCCTGACCCCAGCGGCCTTCGGCGGAGCCCCGCGGGCCAGCGCGCGCCCTGCGAGCCCTGCCAGCAGCACCCGGCCCCCTGCCACCCCTCCGGCGCCGCGGTACCTACATGTCCACGGGGAGGCCGCAGTCCCTGGTGAGGGAGAAGGAGCCTTCGGACACGGCCAAGACCAGCGTGTGCCACCGGCCGTCCGTCAGAGCCGGGCCGCGGAAGGACACGCGGGTCTGCCAGGCGCGCGCCCCGTCCTCCCTGAGGAAGAGGAAGTGCAGCTGGGTGGGCGAGTAGCGCAGGCCGAGCAGCAGCGAGTCCCGCTCCTCCGACACCACCGTGAACAGGTACTCGTTCTTCTGCAAGAGAGGGGCCAGCGGGGGCGGGGCAGGGGGGGGGCGGGGGGGGGGGGGCAGGTGAGGGCGGCAGGTGAGGGCGGGTCTCTGGGCCGCAGCGCCTGAGACAGTAACCAGGGTCTGTGATGAAACCAAATGCACCACTCACACCCATGAGGACAGCTACTGTCAGTAAAACAGAAAATTGCAAGTGTTGCTGAGGATGTGGAGAAATTGGAGCCCTTGTGCACTGCTGCGGGGGGAAGGCAGCAATAAAATGGTGCAGCTGTTATAGGAAACAGTATGGAGGTTCCTCAAAAAATTAGTGTGGAATTACCATCTGACCTAGCAATTCCACTTCTGGGTATATGCCCAAAAGGACTGGCAGCAGCCTCCTGAAGAGGTATTTGTACACCCGTGTTCACGCGAGCATCGCTCTCAATAGCTAAAATGTCGAGGCAGCCAGTGTCCATCGATGGAGAAATGGATAACTAAGATGTGGTCCATTCATGCAATGGGGTATTGTTCAGCCTTAAAAAGGAAGTTCTGACGTCAGCGTGGATGAACCTTGAGGACCTGATGCTCAGTGACGTAAGCCAGTCACAAAAGGCCGGGTAGTGTGCGATCCACTGATGTGAGGTCCCTGGGGGAGCCGATGCACAGGGGCCGAAGGTGGGCGGTGGGGCCGGGGCTGGGGGGCAGTCATGGGGAGCTGCTGTTTAATGCATGTAGAGTTTCCGTTTGGGGAAGATGAAAAAGGTTCTGGAAAGGACGGTGCTGATGTCTGCACAACAGCCTGACTGCCCTTAATGCCACTGAGCTGTACACTTAAAAAGGGTTAAAATGGGAAATTTCATGTTACGTGTATTTTACCACAATTTAACAAACCTCGCGCCACCCGCCATTGTCGCGATCTCCAAATGCCAGCAACCCCAGCTGTGCATCATTTTTCCGCTCGGACCAGGGAGAGACCATATGTACTTGCCTGTACGTAGTGCAATTTAGAGTCTGTTCATTTCTAGCCTAACACAATGAAAAGCGTAAAGAAATGAAAGTGATTAAACCTGAATGCTAAGCAGATACGTTAAATATAGAATATAGTTTTTTAGCAAGTCTTTCCCCATGTAAAACTATGAGTGAATTCCACGCAACTGTTATACTAAAGAAGTGGAAAAACTCCATGGTCCTCATGTTTAATTTAACACTTAATTTAGCAAAATCAATTTGCACAGCTTGGGTCACACGGCCTCTGGCCACTCCGGGTGCTGAGGGTACACGTGTGGCCCCTGCACTTATCTTCCATGTGAAGGGCGCCTTCCCGTGAGCCAAGTCTCAGGAAGTGCATGGAATGTGTGGAAATGACACAGTAGGACAAAATGCTCACAGTGGTGGCTGGGCCCGTGAGGCGGGTGGCTGGGAAGAACGGTGACGTCACAGCCAGGGCCTCCGGGTGGACAGGCGTCTTTACTCCCCCATGTTCACGTCCCAGGACCCCAGAGCCTGAGCAGGCGCTGACCTTCTTGGAGAGGGCAGGGGCCCCACCCAGAGGGATCAGGCCACTGACCTTTGGGGTTCTCAGTCCCTCACCTCTAGGAATACTCCTGGCTGGAGGAGACCAGTGTCTGGTCAGAACCCTGTGTTTCCCCCCAGTGAAGGTGAGAGACAGGAATTGGATCATGTGATGAAGTAAGTTTATTTATCCGGGTGCCTGAGGAGGTGCTGACAGGACAGAAGTCGAAGCCAAGTGACGCAGGCAGAGGAACTGGGAGGGGGACAGGTGACCCAGAGGCAGGTGGAGGCACCTCCTGGGAGGCAGAAGCCCGGGGAGCAGCGAGGTCGGGTTCCCGGGGCAGGATCAGAGGTCAGTCAGGCCAGGACAGTGGGGACGAAGGGGACCCTGTCCCGAGTGGGGGCAGCCGCCCAACCCAGGTCAGGAGTGAGGGAGGCTGGGAGGACCGAGTCATGGGGGCACCTGAGCCCGGCTGGCCCGGCGGGGACGTGCCCAGTCAGCAGCAGGACGTGCCCGAGGCGGGGACGCAGCAGGCGGGGCGGCAGAGCAGGGACACAGAGGAGGAGGGTCTGCGGCAGGACGAGGGGCAGGGGGTGGGCTGGCAGCACGCGGGGCTGAGCAGGGGACGGCCTCACAGCACACGGGCTCGCAGCACGCAGGTGTGTAACAGACGGGCTTGCAGCAGACAGGTGTGCAACACAGGCTTGCAGCAGACGGGCACACAGCAGGCCTGCTGGCGGGGGGAGCAGGTGCGGCAGGGGGGCTCCCACACTTGTCCTTCCTCCTTGGGGTTGAGAGCTGGCTGCAGGAGCCCCTCATTAGTGCTGGCGTAGTTTCTACAATAGCTTTCCCTCGTTAAGCTGGTGAGTGTAAATACCCTGAGTTGCAGGGTGTCTCCCTTCGCTCCTTTGGCTCCAGAAAGTTATGGAAAATGTTGAGGCGAGATTATGCTGAGTGTGGCGTAGAGGTGAACACCTCTCCAAGTTGACGAATTCTGTTCCACCTCTCCTGTGTTTGGGGTACTTTTAGTATCAGTTTAACTTTTAAGCATTTTAAAATTTAAGTGTACCCTGCGTGCCGCCACTACTGAGCTCGCGCGCCTAGAGCCCGTGCTCCGCAACAAGAGAAGCCACCGCAGTGAGAAGCCCACGTGCAGCAATGAAGAGTAGCCCCTGCTCGCCGCAACTAGAGAAAGCCCGCACGCAGCAACGAAGACCCAACGCAGCCAAAAAAAAAGAATCTTAAGTGTAAAGTGACATTGGCACATCTTATAAAATGCAAGTGGTTCAGAAGATTGGACCACAGAGTGGGTCTAGGGTCACGTTCCAGCAGGGCCTGGTGTGAGACCCAGGCTCTGCCAGCAGGAGGTGAAGGATGCCCAGAGCCCTCGCAGCCCAGCCTAGCGTGCCCAAGAGGAGCGTTAATGGGGCACGGTCGGACGTGGACTCTGCAATGAAACTTTCTCAAGGAGCAGCGCTCACAGGTGTCTGAGTGAGTCTGGGGCCGTGAAAGGGACGCAGGACTGCAGGGTAAGTCGGGAGCCGTTTTCATCAACATTTCACCCAAACTCAAGTGCCTTTCGGTACAGGCTGTGCACCCCACACTCCTCGGCTGAGCAGATTGCCCTTCTTGGCCCGAGGTTGCCTCCCTCAGAGGTGATGCCCTGAAAGACTCAGAGAGAGGGAGAGGGTCTCCTGGAGACCCCGCGTGTGAGCAGTGGAGACGTGCGGACCCCAGGTAACACCCAAAATTAAAGCCCAGGCAACACTCAGTTTCCCTCGTGGATCAAGAAGATGTGGTCCTGAGGAGCCTGGAACAGAAAGTCAGCATGGGCTGACTCTGGTGAAGAGGTCGACGCCTGAGCAGGGATGGTCACGACGGCCCTGGCCACAGCTGTGGGGGTTAGACAGCACTGTCTGAGCACCTGTTCTAGGCCAGGCGGGGATCCTCCAAATCACAGAGATAAAAGATAAAACCCCAAATATGATGAGAGAAAATGTAATAAACGGACCGTGTGTTTCGCCGACACCAAACATGACAGTCCATTTGCTAGGGAGGGAGGAGGCACAGCTAGGATAAAACAGTAGAGACAAAACTGAGCATGAACCGCTCTGAGCTGAGTGCACAAAGATGTGTGTGTGTTTGGACTGGAAGGGCTTCATGAATTTCAAGAGCCTCAGGTCTTTAGAGCCCACCCACCCTAGACATGTGTTGGCAGTTTTTAAATGAACAGAATTAATAGCAGCCCCTTCGCCGTGCAGGAAGAAACAGCACATAGTCTGGAAATGAACCCCCCCCCGCAGGGCTGACTCCGGACACCTCTCCCACCACACAGTGAAAGACACAGAGCTTCTGGGGGAACATCCGGGATTAAGGCTGATTTGATCTTTTTTCAAATTATTACATCTTTCTCAAGTAAAGAGAACAGCGGTGTATTTTCATATAAGCAAGAGCTTAGAAAGTACTCCACTCACATTTCCCTGTTGAAAAAAACACTTAAAGAAATAAGACAAATGACCAAGTGATGAAGCAGACAGGAGCACCTGGGGGGTTGGGCTGGCGTCAGTGCAAAGAAGGGGAAACAAGTCGAAATAGCCAGTGAGATGGGTTGCGTGTGCAGAGTCTGATCCTTCGTAGGCAGTGACCCTGGCGAGGCCCAACACTTTATTAATATCAGAAGCTCTGTCTGTGTGAGAGCCACCTGGCTGCTGGGCCCTTGAAAAGTAGCCAGTACCACGTGTTCGGTTTTTTGGGTTTTTTTGTTTGTTTTTTTAAGAGAAGAAATTGTTCTGTTCACTGTTGTATCTCTGGTGCCTAGAACAATTCTTAGTATTGATACACAGAAGGGCCCATTTTTATGAAAGAATAACAGAGCATCTTACCGCAAGTCATGTTCCTAAGTAAAACAAAAATGTCCACAAACAAATGGATCTAAAACTTTCTGAAAACCCGACATGTGGAAGCACAAGAAATGCAAAGTAGATTATTTTTCTATTCCCACTTTGCTCTATACAGGTAGGAATGAATTATTATACAATTTTTCAAGGTCCTAAACAACTCAATCAATCAAAATTTACCTCAAAACTCATTTAATCAAAATAAAACTCATTTAAGTCATTTTTTTTTTCAAATTTACTTTTCAGAACAGTTGGTCACAATCCCTGAATACAAATGCCTTGATCATTTGGAATATGCTACAAAGGCCGGTGGATGAGCTACAGAAGGAACAATGGGAAAATCAAGAGTCTGGACTATCTCCTACTTGGATCAGCAGTGATGAATCAACAAATGATGACTGTATGCAAATGGAAGCAGGATTACTCTCAATTTGATCTTCAACTTGCTGGACAGGCACAACTTATTCTCTTCTTTCAATATAACTGATACGATAAGAATACGGCTACATTAACTTACTAAAAGCAACAAGGTACAAAGATAAAGGTATTAATCTCTGGAAGTATTTTGAAAACACTGATAAACACTAAATATTTAATACTAAAACACTGCAGGATCC